GTCGTCAGTGTGTGACCTCTACTTTCATGTGAAAACTTTAAATATATTCGGTCTTGTTTGTTGTAGTTATCGGTGTGACAACGAATGGGAACTTAGCCAGGGTAAATGGCATAGAATCCAAGCTCTGTGCACTGTCGTTTTTGTTCACATTCTAACCTGTCTAATGCTGGTTTGTGGTATCCTCTCGGCCAAGGAGTTTCGAATGAATAGTTTCAATAAAATTGGAGATCGATTCTTTGTAGTGCATTTCGAACTCAGTGCCTTATTGCTACTGATACTCTACTGGTACTTTTACATCCAACAACGAAGAAACTTTGAATTTCTGCAGATAATTTTCAAATTTCATCATGAATGCGGCAGGGAGACCACGTCGTGGCAACATCGAAAATATTATTTGATGTACTTTTTAAATTGTGCAATTTCCACATGGATGTATCTCTTCATATTTGCCTTCAGCGAAATGCCATTGGTCACCACATTCTCCTATATGTTGGTGTTCATTTCAACGGCATGGATAACTGGTATCCTTGTCCTGATGCATTTAAGTGTTATGCGAATTATGCAGAAATCTATGCGATACCTAAACCAAGAATTGCAAACATTGTCATTTGTAGATTTTGAAAAGTTTCAAAACATTTTGTCGCAACGTAACATGTTGCTTCATCTTGGCTTACGAGATATGAATCACAATCATGGTTTTGTATTTTTGCTGATCGTGGGATTTGTGATGGCAACGGGAGCCAGTGGTCCGTTTTACATTGTATCGCAATATATGGTCAAATGGAATGAAAGGCCTGCATGGTATTATATTTTGATAACATTCAATAATGTGATATGGAATTCACCGATTCTGAGAATATTTCATGCAATGTCGGCATGTGATGGATTCAATAGAGAGGTAAATATGGTAGAGGTTATATAAGGTATTCCAGCATTCTAATCTCAACGGATTTGGAATTTTGTAAATTTAGAATATTAAAAAAAATATATATATTTTAATCAGCTGTAACAAAAACGTCGACATTTAAAAAAAAAAAAAAAAAATATATATGAATCACATCAATAGTGAATAGAGTCCACAAACGCGTCCTAATTTTCCCAATGAAAAAATTTTCAAAATTTCTAATCTTAATGGATTTAGAATTTTGTAAATTTAGAATAATTAAAAAATGAAAATATTTTAATCAGCTATAACAAAAAACGTCAAAATTTTAAAAATTACAAATCACATCAATGGTAATAGAACACAACTGTGTCCCAATTTTCCAAATTTAAATTTTTTGACTCAATAGCCGTGATTTTTTTTTTAACTCCATATGTACTGTTAAAAATAAAGATTTGTAGATTTTTGAAAAATATTTTTCAGGCAACAATTTTTGAGAAATTCAGAAGGGTGGATTTTTTTATACCCTACAACACTATGTGTTGGGGGTATTATAAGTTTGATTGGGTCAAAAATTATGTAACACCACGAAATATTGATTTCCCACATAGGAAAGTATATATGGATCTTTCTATCTCGCCGAGCTGAGTCGATCTAGCTATGTATGTCCGTCCGTCCGTCTGTCCGTCTGTCCGTCTGTCCATGTTATTTTGTAACCACTCTACAGGTCGCAATTATGGCCCGATCTTCACGAAATTTAGAATGGAGGTGGGGCTAGGGTCAGAATAGAACCCTATTTCTTTTGGAGATGATCGCCAAATGTTTAGGGGTTGAAATGGACCAAATACTGAAAAAATGTCGGATTTTGCAGAAGCTATACAGGTCGCAATTATAGACCAATCGACGCGGAATTTCGCATGTAGCTAGAGTTTAGGGCGGGCAAGAAGCCTACCAATTTGGGTGGTCATCGGATAATATTTAGCGGGTAAAATAGGCCATATCTTTTTTGTTGAAAAAATTCAAAATTTTTCATTAAACCGCGAATATTTTAAGTCCCGGCGAAATCACAAAGCCATGAGAAGGTTACTTCTGATCTTTACATTGATGTTAAGATCCAAAAAATCGAATATATAGCAAATACATGCGATATATATGTCTATCAAAGAAGATATGCTTGAAAGATCTCACATATGTCGAGAACGGCTGAACTGATTTCGACAGTTCTCATTAATTCAGAATGGCCTCTTGGCAGGAAAGAAAAAACGTCTAAAAAATTGCATAACAATATCTCTCTAAAGATGAAAATATTGATTTTGTAATATTTTCTCATATTTTTTCCATTTTGTCATATTTTTGGCATATTTTCATTTTGAATTAAACATTTGGTAATATTTCTACAGCTAACAAAACTAAGTAGTTAGGATATCAGGATATCATATATAGATCGCATTTATGGCCCGATCCTTACGAAATTTTGCATGGGGATAAGATGAGGGTCAGAATAGATGCCTACTCTTTTTGGAGATGATCGCCATATATTTAGGGGTTGAAATGGACCAAAAAACTGCAAAATTGTCAGCAGGTCGTAATTATCGCCCGATCCTCACGCACATTTGAATGGGGGTTACCGGACATTGCAAAAGCCAAGCAGTTTCGGATGGCCATCCAAAAATATTCAATGTGTAAAGGAGTTTGCCAACTTTTGTAGACAAAATACGAAATTGTCCATTCCAGTGACTTTTCGGAGAATTCACAAATACAGGAAAGATGCACTTCTGACTATTTTTTTTAACGCTGATTTCGTTGAAGAATGTAGTCAAATGTCTGTATCTCATATAGATGCGTTTCAGTCAAAAACCAATAATAAATGTTAACCTTTTGCCACTTCTGAGAGATTATAGGTCTTTGGGAAATATTGGTTCCAGATCTAGGAATACCATTTACGTGCAACATCTACCAATAAATTGGAAATAAGCAAATTAGTTTAAGTTGCTATTATTCGAAAATTAGAGAACGAAACCTGATGGTTTTCTTTTATTATTTGTCACAATGTCTTGTGGAATTTATTCGAGTATCTCGCCTATATAAACCGTATCGTTTATTATAGTGTTGTAGGGTATTCAACGGTCGGCCCCGCTCGACTGTAGCCTTTGCTTACTTGTTTTAAATATTTTCGAAGTTTTTAATTTTTTTGGGTCAAAGGAATTGTCGGTCAAAAATAGTGAATCCATTAAAAATATTTTAAAAAATCAGGCATTGTATCTTTTCCAATAATTATGGATTTTTATACCTCGCACCACCTATTTAATTATTTGCATAGAATCACATTTTGCGTCGATTTATGCTTGTCCGTCCGTCCGTCCGTATGTCCTTGTATTTTTATGAACAAAGTACAGGTCGCATTTATTGTCCGGTCCAATGAAATTTTGCACAAGTCATTTCTTTGACCCAAGGACGAACCCTATTGAAGATAATCGGTCAAAATTTAGATTTAGCTTCCTTATACAGGGTGTGATGAAAAAACTGGAACCAACATCAGACTACTGTCATTTCTAAGCCACTCGTCCGACAGCTGTTAAAAATTAAACCAGTGACAGCTCTTTATATTGTACAAAGCAAATTGTTTAGGATTTTCCAGAATAAAAATATTAGTGATGGAATTCAAGCGAGATAGTGTTTTTTGTATTTGGCTGGAAGACCACAAGTAGCTTCCGTTAGAGCACTCCAGCATTTAAATGTGAATAAATCCCATAGAATAAATACTGGTAGCGTAGCCCGACGTCAAGGAAGTGGACGGAAGAAAACAGCAACATTAGCAGAAATGGTTCGAAAAGTAAAGAAGCGTCTTGATCGAAACAAGCGTCGCAGTGGCCGAAAAATGGCTCGTGAGCTGAACATATTGCATTGTTCCATTCAGCAAATATTGAAAATGAGCTCGGGGTAAAGCCATTGAAATTCTAAAAACTGCCGAAAGTGGTGAACTGTCGAATTTGGTTTTCTCCGATGAGAAAACATTTGTTGTCCAGCACGCGCCACCTAAAAATGGTTACAAACTGAGGTTCTTCGCTTCATTTCCAGTGCACAATGGCCATCGAAATCTCCGGATACCAATTCGTTGGACTATTGTGGGGGAGGTATTTTGGAAAACAAGGTTGACACTAAAAATACCAAAGTGTCAATGACCTCAAAAGCGCTTTGCCGGGAATGGAACAAAATACCCCAAAGCAACATTCGGATAGCGTGTGACGGTTTCATTGGCACTTTGAAGGTCATAATTCGTGCCAAAGGTGAATAATTCGAACAAATCTATTTCCGTCATTTGTTGCTTTCATTCAATAAAATTAAAAAAAAAAAAAAAAAAAAAAAATTATCGCGTTTGACTTTGTTGCTGTTTTTTTTTTTAGCTGGACCTGTATATCTTCGTCCGATTTGCCTTTTATTGTGTACCAAACGTGTAATATTAGCTTAAATGGGATAGAATTTGCCACTTACGACCAAATTTATCCTAGAAATAAGTATGTCAAATTTGGTGAAAATCGGTCCAGATATAGCTATAGCACCCATATATATTGTTTATCCGATTTGTTATTTTTGTTCTTCAAAGCCGTAATATGCACTCCGTAACAACGATATTCGGGGAAATATTTCAAATATAGCTCAGAAATACATTTGCCAAATATTCAGATCGGTTCAGATTTGGATATAGCTCCCATTTATAACTTCGGTCGTTTTTCTTCTTGTTGTGCACCAAATCAAATGGGATGAAATTGCAAAAACCATCAACTTTTGTAAAACTCCCTTGATTGTGGATTTTTTTTTTTAATATTTTTCAACAATTTCCTTGGTGGCTCTACCTCCCCCCCCCCATACTTATCGTTGATTTCCTTGTACATATTTTTCAAAATTTCTTTTGAAGAATATTTTGAAGTATGAGAAATCCATAATTTTTTTGTATGAATAATTTTGAAGACCACCCGATTTTTTTTTAAATATTTTCAAGATTTCCTGGCCAAGATGAGTATATTTTAATAATTGTAATAATTGAAAATAATTGTAGATTTAGTATCTCATGTGAATGTGAATGGATTTACTTTATTTTTTTTTTCTTTTTTAACAGGTCAGGGAAACCTCCAAGATTTTGTGTCGAATGTCAACTATGGATTGTCAGTTCAAGAGAATGGTATAATTGAAAATCAATTTTATTTGTTATTAACATTTATTTTTCATTTTCCAGATTGATAAATTTTTGTGGATAAATTTGCACGAAAAACCAATCCTCAACGCCATGGGATTTTTTGTAATTTCACGAAAGTCTGTTTTCCAGGTTTGTAGATATAAATATATGACATAAATTACAATTAAGAATATATATTCATTTTATTTGCAGTGTTTGGCTTTTATTATAAGCATAATGTTGGTTCTGGTGCAATTTAAGGAAATGGAAAGTGTCACGGATAATCAATCCTGAGGGGTTAATGAATTGTAGTAAACAAATCATGTGTTTTAAAAACATTTAATGTCAATTGATGGTAGTACTTAATCAAAATTTTAAAATTATAAATATTTCCCAAATTCAAATTGTTATTAGATTATAAAAATGCAATTTCTAGCGATAATTTATAAGTTTGATGTATTTAATCGAAATAACTATATTCCATTTCCTATGTTCTTCAACTTTACAATACCAACATTCCGTTCAAAAATGTCACTAAAATCGGAAGATACCGAATATCGTAAGGTACCCGGGTGAACCTATAATTTCTGCAGCATGAAGGGGCAGTTATTACGATATTTAAATATCGTAATTCGAAATACCCAATACCAAATTTAGTACCATTTATTACAATTACAGGGTGAGGTGCAAAAACTTCAAATAAATTCAGATTGCTGTCATTCCTAAGCCACTCTTCCGACAGCTGCTAAAATTATTTCGGTGACAGCTCATTATATTGTTTACAAGCGTATAAAAGCATTTGGGTGAGAATTTTCCAGAAAAAGAGTTATTCGTGATGGTATTCAAACTTGATAGTGTGATTTCTTTATATTTGGCCACCAAAACCACAAGTGATCGAAACCCGCTTCGCAGTGGCCGAAAAATGGTTCGTGAGCTGAACATATCGCAATACTCCATTCGGTAAATACTGAAAAATGAGCTCGGGGTAAAGCCATTGAAATTCCAAAAAGTGCAAGAACTTACACCGCAACAGAAAGAAAATAGACTCAAAAGAGCTAAAGAGTTGCTTCGCTTGGCCGAAGAAAGTGGTGAACTGTCGAATTTGATTTTCTCCGATTAGAAAACATTCGTTGTCCAGCAGTTTGTAAAAAAAAAACAAAATGATCGTGTTTACTTGCCAAAGAGGTCAGCTGAAAATGTGCACCTTCGGTTGGCTACCAGAACTCAGATGGCGGCATTGGTAATGGTGTGGGCCGCCGATGGTCGCTCTCCACTCGTATTTATCGACCGTGGCATCAGAATAAATGTCGAATATTTGTCGCGAAAATATTCAGGAGGGTGTATTAAAGTCTTTGGCACGCAAACATTTTACCCGCAGACATTGGGCATTCCAACCGGACTCAGCACTATGGCACTCAGTACGTGCCACACAAGAATGGTTACAAAATCAGGTTCATCGCTTAATTTCCAGCGCACAATGGCCATAAAAATCTCCGGATACCAATCCTTTGGACTATTTTGTCTAGAGCTTTTTGGAAAGCAAGGATGGCACTAAAAAATACCAAAGTGTAGATCACCACAAGCTAGCGCCTCGCCGGAAATCGGCCAAAATACCGCAGAGCAACATTCGGGCAGCGTGTGACGGTTTAAAGGCCATAATTCGTGCCAAAGTGACCAATTCGAACAAATGTAGACATATTCTAAAATTTGATGCTATATCTGATACCAACGGTTACCTAAATATCAACTTTCAGAATTTTATCCCTATCCCGTTTATCAAAACTCTGCTTTCTGTACTTTTTGTACAATTATAACACACATTTCCCAAACAACCTCCATATCTCAAGTCCAGATACCAATAGAGACCTCAATATCAAATTTGAGAGTTCCAGTCCCATTCCTTCACCCAATACCAAATTTAGTAGGATTTAGTAATTTTCGGTACAAATATAGGACACATTTCCAAACCACCGCCAAATCTTAAACACAGATACCATCAGCAATCTAAATATCTAATGTCAGAATTTTATGTCTATTCCTTCATCAATACCAAAGGTGGTATTGTCCACTCCTTCTGGTACCTCCCCCACAAAGGGTCAAAATTTTGAATAATTATATCTCTTATAATTTGTAAAATATATATCCGACTCTCTTCAAATTTCACACATCACAATATAAAGGAAGGTATATTTTATTTATGATGAGCATAAAATTCTATTCGATTTTAAGTCGATTTAAATATGGCCATCTGTCTGTCGTCTGTCTGCCTCTTGAGATAACGATACAGCCCACATTTTTCGACATAGAGCTTCAAACTTAGCAGAACAATTTGTATTGTCTCTAGGATGATTGATATCGGTCCACGTTTTGGTATAGCCGCCATATAACGGTATCTCCCGATATTCGGTAATTTGATGATTTTCCCCACAATTTTTCACGGAGTTGTCTAAAAATTTGTATTTGTAGGTCTAGCTCTGGTGGCGAAACATTGTATGTATATGTTCTCGTTTTTGTATATGTGAATACCTACCGGTCTCCGCTCGTTCACACAGGACTCAGCACCATCGCACTCAGCACGCGCCACCAAGAATGAAGGCCATAATTCGTCCCAAAAGTGGCCAATTCGAACAAATCTAATCTAATTTAAAAATTTGATGCAATTTCCAAACTTTTTTGTTTTCATTCAATAATTTTTTTTTTTTAATTAAATATTATGACGATTGACTTTGTTGGAGTTTTTTATCTCACCTTGTATAATGATTTAACGGCATCACCGGCTTTTTGTTTTTTTTTTTTTTTGAAAAAAAAATTTTAACGTGAAACACGCTTGAATTCAGATACTTTTATATAAAAATGTTTTCTTTGCCAAATGGTGAAGAGTGTTAAATGTTCTGTCCGGCCGAACTTAATATTTTTTACTTGTTTTGAAGAAAACAATTACATATTTGTAGTGAAGTGTTTGAGTTTAATAAACATAATATTTTTATTCGTTTTACAAAGTTAATAAAGAATTGACGAATGGGCGCTGTATAGCTAATGGGTGCATTGTTATCCCCCATGCTTTTCATATTCGGAGATTTGTCTGCTCAGTTCATGAAATTGCATCATGATTATTAAATAATTCATTATTGATGCCAGCAGCTGAAAGGGAAAGGGTTAATTACATTATTTTTTTTTTTTTGAAGAATTTTTAGAATAGAATAGGAATTTGTCTAACTCACTTGGAATAATGTTCTCTGGTCCAGTGCAAAAAATCCCAAAGCATTAAGTACCGGCTTCTGTTGCAAATGTTTCCACAGGACTTTATCAATCTGAAATAATTGAAAAATTGAATTACTTTTCTAAAGAGGGCATCAAAACGTAGGCCATGGACTCAAAGAGAATGATAGAGGAAATTAAATTCTTACCACTCTCTTAAATTTATGTTTACTACTGCAATTCCGTGAAATTATCTGTATAGTTTTATTTACCTGAAAGAATGTGGAATAATTACTAAATATTAATTCAATAATGTTTATATTTAGATGTTATAAAAAAAAGCTTTATAAATTGTACTTTAATCAGATTAACAACACAAAAAATAACATTCAAAAAAATAAAATCAAACATCCCAGTCCAATATTAACGAAATGGTTAGAACATCAATACTTGGGCCGACAGATGTATAACCTCGGCCAATTTTCGATTATTTAAATAAATTTTGATTTCCGTTATAATTTTTCAAATTGATGACCCTCTACGGAGTAGATTCCGAATGAATGTGTCAATATTGTACCCATTTCGTATCGGACCTAAAATAAAAATAAATATTGCGAAGCCCCAGGTTTGGACTATATTGATTACTACCTTCACTTTATATGAGATATGTGATAATTTTAAGAAAATGTTAAAATGTACATGAGGTACCAGATATAGTCGACCGAAGAATTAAACTTATATATACTTCATTATACTTCATCTAATATAGAAAAAACAAGTAAGAAAAGGCTATAGTCGTGCGGAGCCGACCGTGCGATACCCTACAACACTACAATATGTTAGAAGCCCCCTCATGTCCAAATCCATTTTGGAAGATTTCGTTTTCGAAATTATGTCACGGCGCACTGCCCAGATATTACCCTTAGCATTTTGACCAGGGACTTTTTCCCAATATTTATGCACACCGTTGTGCTGTTAGTTTTTGTTTTATACGGCTACATATCCAATGGTCATTCAAAATGCCAGAATTCTTCCCTGTGCTTAACTATTTTCTCAGGCGTGTCGATTGGCTTCAATCAGGACTTTTTTCTGTTTTTGGTTCATTTGAACCCCTAAATATTTTGCGATCATCTCCAAAAGCAAGAGGCCCCTCTGTGTCTCCAAATTTAGACTCATCTATGATTTGATTGTCTACGATATTTGGCTATATTCGTCAACGAAATCAGCATAAAAAAGCCAGAAGTTCGCCTATTGTGTATTTCGGATATCGCCTGTAAGTAATGTTGGTATTTTTCACACAAAAGTAGTTGTCCATTCCATCCGCTGTCTTAAATTCTAACTTAATGCGAGATTTCGTGTCTTTTGGTTGCTATTTGTGACCTTCATAAGGGCTGCAATTAGCCCTTCTGAGCCTAACCCTAACTTTTTAAAAAATTTCGTGAGGATCAGACGATAATTGCAATCAGTATATAAATAATAACCCCAACTGTGTTGTAAAGTGAAAAAATATTACAAAACATACCCTTCAATATTATAAGCCAAAATGAAAAAATCGCATGCGATAAAAAATATGAAAAAATAAAAAAATTTCACAAAATACTACAAAATCTATATTAACATCATTATTGGCATCTTTTTAAGCCATTTTTTTAAGATTTTATTTTTTATGACAAAAGGGCATTCTGAATTGACAAAATATGTCTAAATCGCTCCAGCTATTCTGGAGATATAAGCATTCTAGCTAACATCCCCTTCCTTTGTATATACACATTGTATATATTTCGCTATATATATCCGAAATTTTTACTATTGGCATCTACATAACGGTCAGAATTGACCCGTTCGTCTATTTATGATTTCGCCTGGATTAAAAATGTTCGCGGTTTAATGGAAAATTTGACTTTTATTTATCACAAATGCTATGGTCTATTTCAATCACTAAATATAACCCGATGACCATCAAAATTGGAAGGCTTCTGCCTTCTGCCCAAAGCTCTAGCCCCATGCTAACTTTCGCTTCGATTGGTCTATAATTGTGACCTGTAGAGCAACTGCAAAATCAGGAAATTTTTCAGTTTTTGGTCCATTTCAACCCCTAAATATTATGCGATCATCTCCAAAAGAAATAGGGTTCTATTCTGACCTTAACCTCACCTCCACTTTTAATTTCGTGAAGA